AAAATAGTGTTAAATTTGCTCTGCTGCGATGTTAAAAAACCATTATCCCGATATGGCACCATGAGAAACGTTTCTAGCGGATAAGCTGCGTCGCCTAAGAAGTGGWGATTTGGTGGAATTTTTAATTCACCGCTTACTAGTGCTCTACGAAATGGGCTCCTTTGCCACACTGATGCGTCATGACATCGTCCGGGACAGCCGACAAAGACGTCTAGAAATTTCATATCGCTGTCAACAATGGCCTATACAAATTGCTTATTATAATTTGACAAGGGATGAGTATACATGTGTATTTACCTGTGCAATGATGGAAAACGTCCCTTTTCTGTTATAGAAACTTATTGCATCATTTTTTGGTTGTGATATGAGAATGTGCGTTCCATCAATGCATCCTAATACAAAAGGAWATATATTGTGGCGACGTTGAGAAAACCCATCAGCGATCTTTTTTTGAGCTGCAGTAGTAGTTGGAAATTTTATTATTGTCGATTTTAGACGACATATAAGTTTGAGGATTTTAATAAATGTTCTATAAGTGGCGCCCATTCCTACATCAAATCTATCACTAATTTGTCGAAATGATGTATTATTGGCAAGCTTCCAAATTGTCAAATACAATGCCTTTTCCATGGAAACTACAGTACGACCAGTTGATGATTCGGTCCACATTGGTTGTAGCATAGTCATCAGCCTCTGAAATTGCAGCGAACACGTTTCATGTTATCCAAAAGCTAATTCTTCAGCATTTGCTAATAAAATTAATGAATAATTTCTTCTCTCGTCCATATTAACTCAAAATTTCGTTATTTGTAATAACAGTCATTATTTGACATATGTTTTATGTATGAGTTTTACGATGACGTTCCTAAACGTCATTTATATGCAAAGCATTAATTTGCCACGCAGAGTTGCGTTGAAAATCAGCTTTGCATTTCATACGCATTTTTTCGAGTTATGCATCGCAACTTGCGTTTAGGAAGTCGGCCATATTGTACATTTCAAAAATAATTTACGTCGAAGTGTGCTTATATTGGCTGTTAATAGCAACAAATATAGAATTGGAAATAACTCTATATGCCTCGCAATCACCAGACATTAATCCTAACATATATGAAACTTACTGAAAAACCGTATTCGGAAACAACGAATTTCATTAAAAGAGTTCCTAAAAACTACTTTATCATATTAGCGGGTCAAAATATCTGAGAAAAAGGGGATGTTCGAGCAAGAAAATAACTGCGGCAATATTGCAACCCTGATGTTTTTTGCAGATGGTCAGCTGATACTTATGCATATATTTTGCGCGGCATGCAAGTAAATTGAACAAGTGAAGTGAAGTTTCAAAAATGAATTTTTTAATAAATTTAACAGTTGATAACATGGTGGAGAGTCAGAGTTCTTTACTTTTGAAATACAAAAAAAAAAAAGGAAAGAAAGTTTTGCGCGTAAAAAGAAATGGCTTTTGACTGAAATTTTAAAAAAGAGGACGATAGTGAAATCGCAAAACTTCAAGACAATTCCATTTTATCCTCCGGACATATATTTGTCACATTTTCGGATGTCTCGCGAAACATTTGAGGTAAGTTTTCTGATTTAAATAATCTCCTAAATAAACACATATACATGTATATACTTTGTAGGAATTAAAGAGCGCCTTGGAGCCTTTTTGGATAACGTCACGAGGGGAATATTCAATGGATCAGGCCTTGCATATTACCTTGTGGAAGCTTAGTAACAGCAGAGTCACTTATAGTGATTAATCAGATAAATTTGATATTTCTGCCAACAAAATTTTTCTTAAAACGATCAATGCAATCTGAAAGTTGAAGAATGAAATATGTTGGCCATCAATTTCCCACCAGCAAACAATAATGGAGCGTTTCCAAGCGAGCCGGCCGAATGCATTTCCTTTCGTAGTCGGCTGTTTGGATGGGACACATTTTAAAATAAACACACCGAAGAAGGATGCAATTAGCTACTATGACCGAAAGGGGAACTATTCCATTATTATGCAGGTATGTACATATGGTGATGGTTAAGCGAAAACTATTTTAAAAACATAAAACATTTGCAATGTTTAGAGCATATGCGACAGCACATTTCGTTTCTTGGATGTTTTTATCGACTACCCAGGGAGCTGCCATGACGCCAACGTATGGAAAAATAGTCTGATATACAAAGGAATTACGTCTGGAGAGATACAACTTGCAAAAGATGCTATAATTTTARCTGACTCAGCTTATCCTCTTTCAAAATATTTGATCGCGCCTTATAGAGATAATGGACATCTGTTGAGAGAGGAGAAACAATTTAATTATTATTTAAGTTCAACTC